CTGGCTCCGACAGCTCCCTTAGCCCCACCTGTGATATCTGAAGTGAGTGCCACCCACAAAAATAAAACTTTGAAAATCTGTGTGGTAATAAACTGGCTCAATACGCAAAGGTTACCTTAAGCCACCTGTCTGCCAAAGCCATCTCAGGATATCTGCTGTAACCATCGAGGCTATTCGGCTGGTTTAGAAGCATCTAATAAAATTTGTTAAACGGGCCTGACCGAAACGAATGTGAATTTGACACGCTGTGATTTTAATTCATTATGAGCTGATGAAACACATTTGCTAAGTGCAATGGAAGTGTCGTTTCCTTCACATACTCTCGACAGAGCTGCCACTCCTCCGTCTGGCTGCTGGCGGTGTGAGGCATCCTTCGTACAGCGGTGACGGCCGCGCGCCGGGCTTTGCTGCTCCCACCCAGGAGAGCAGGCCACCCTGCTTGCATTCTCCATCCCTGAACGCCTCTCAACACCGAGAACAGTACAGAAAGCCAGCTCCCAGCTCCCAGCTCCCAGCTCCCAGCTCCCAGCTCCCAGCTCCCAGCTCCCAGCTCCCAGCTCCCAGCTCCCAGCTCCGTAGGAACACAGAGCTCGGGAAGGGCGTCCCTGCTCTGCGGCCAGTGGCAGGAGCTGCTCTTCACTTTGGATCACCGTGGAGCCAGGACGTATCTGCTGACCATGTTGGCCACAGCCTTCTGCCTGAGGCTGCCTGTGTTGTTCCTTCCAGCTAACTGTGTGCCTCCTAGCGTGTGCTGCCTCTCCTCTCGCCAGATCCTTTGTATCGCGCTTATCAAAGCTTCTTGCACATGCACAGCTCCTGGGAAGATCTGATAAAATGATTTGGATTCCGAAGAGCTAGCAGAATGCGAGTCGCAGGGCCAGCGCAGAGGCCACGGGTGCAAGGACAGGCCTTCCCAGATGCCAGGGACAGCAACACGGCTGGATGGAGCATCACAGCTCAGCAATCTGGCCCTCAGAGGGTCCCATTCCGTAGCGCTGAACTGGGAGCCGTGGAATTGGGTTTCTAACACGTTCCCAGCTGCTGCTACTGGACAAGAAATTGCATTTCCAGAATCAGTAACTTACAGTCAGTTCTAGGGACTGCGGGCATAGCTCCGTGGCAGAGTACAGGCCTCTAGGTCAGTCCCAGGAAGAGCAGAAGCAAATGTTTCAGTGTGAATCTCCAAGATGAGAGATATGGCGGGTGTGGCAGAGCGTGTCTGTAATTCCAGCATTTGGGAGGGTGAGGTAGGAGAGTTACAAATTGGAGCCTTACCTAAACAGTTCAGTGATTTTCTGAAACTCTCTTAAAATGAAAAACAAAAAAGGTTGGGGGTGTGGCTCAGTGCAAACCCTTGGGCTCAGTCCTCAGTGCTCCTACAAGCACACACGCAAACCCTCCACAGTTGTAGGTGTTCCTGACAATTAAATGAAACAAATGTTAAACTATTATGTATTCTCAGAGAAAAATGAAGACCAGAGGAAGGCCATACTTGCTTTTAGATATTTTTTTTCTCAAATTAGGGAATACATAATTCTAACTTTGTAGATTGGCTTATCAAAAGATATTTTATTCTATCAGTCAAATCCTTAAGAAGTGGAGATTATAAAAATGCATATTAGGGCCGGTGGGATAGCTCAGCAGACTAAGTGCTTGCTTGGGCAAGCTCAGGAGCTAGAGCTAGGGTTAGATCCACCGCATGCCACACCAGCCCCACCTCCGGGCACACTGAGCCAGAGATGGAGTCTGGGCATGATGGTGCACACCTGTAATCCGAGCACTAGGGAGGCTGAAAACAGGAGGATCACTATGAGTCCAAGCTGCATAGTGAGACCTTGCACAAAAAAATAAAATAAAATAAAAATACATATTATGAATGTGCACATTTGTTTCATAATATTTAAATGCTGCAATTGGTCTCTCTCAGAGACTGTGACTTTCTATATATATATGAAATTTATGGAACATCATCAAACTACTGTATTTCATATAAATTCATTATGAGTTGATTGTAAGTTAATAATTATAAACTGTTTTTTTATATACTGAAATCTATAGTTAGGGAAATAACCAATCTGATTTTCCTTATCATGATTCATATTTCAGTTATGTATGCATGAAATATATTTATATTTCAATTTTATATATATGTATATTTGAAAATAGTTATGCTAGCAGTAGGGATTTGGGTACTATACAGATTCTTTTTATGTAAACATTACATATTTCAAGGCTTTAAAAAATATTCTCATTTAGTTTTATTGGGCCCTACAAAACAGAACCCAGTTGTCAAGGGCCTGTTCATTCTTAAACTCTTGGTATGTTTCATTTTTCTTTCCCTACCTCAGTAAGAAAACAAGATGCTCCTCTGATTTACTTGTGAAGTGGAGAAATGAGGCCAGAGAAGAGTGCACTGCCTACTGATTGCCCCAGCTCATTTCACTTAGGACTTTCAATTACTACTATGAGATCTTTAGAACAGACCACAGAATGGGCTTCCAAAAATCCTCAACTCTGAAACAGCTATTTTGAGCATATTCCAAACAACATAGCATAAGACATTTTCTGCAAGGAAATATATGCCTAGGTTTCAAGGTTTAGGACGTGCTTTAAATAAAATCAGGAGTAGTTAAAAGCTCAGTAAGGTTCACAAGCGCTCCATGTAACTGATTTATAAAAATTATATAGATTTTCACTTATCTTGGTATCCCCAAGGAATTTTTTGAGAAATACTTGAACTATGAATCAAGATAAGGAAAATTAAATTATTTCCCTAACTATAGATTTCCGTATAGAAAAACCAATTCATAACCATTAACTTACAGTCAACTCTTAATAACTTTATATGAAATATAGTAAGTAGTTTCATAAATTTCATCAATCATCCAATTATCATGTAATTGTGAGTTTAAACAGAAAATGACTTTGAATTGCCTAAACAAATTAAGTAACAGTTATGGTTTCTTTGTGAGGTAAATTTTAATAATACTTTAATACTTTAAATAGCCAAACTGCTCAATACAAATTCATTTTCCACATTCTAATAAGTCTTCAAAACATCATCCGATACTGACTGAGAAATCTACCTAACAATCTTACATGGACTTTATACTCAGATCTACATTTTTCTGTTCCATATTTAAGCAAGTCGAAGAGAAATACAAACATGAACACATGCAAGTTAACGCTCAGCTAATAATTTAATTACAGAACGTCTATACCTACACTCAAAAATATAATTTATTATACTATTACATACTTCCAAATTTGTAATATTATATTTTAAATTTCAAAATTCCTATCACTTTCAAAATAGCTTGTACACTAAACAATACAAATTCCCCCATTACCTTACTATGGCTACAAAACTCATACATGGTGGATAGCTTATGACACCAAATCTAGCTTATTAAAACTACATTTTGCCTTTGACCCCAATATCCAATTTCATATCAAGACCCACCTTTCCTTAGAAACTGTAACTGAGATGACTAGTCAAAAAAATTGTTTAAAAAAACCACTTGTGGTTTTTTTTTTTTTTTAAGAGAACTCATTAATAGATTAAACAAAACAATTTAGTTTGGGTGAGAAATTGCCACATATTATATAGTTACCCTGCATATCTTTACAGAGTTTGCCACAAATGGCTAATAAAAATTACTTAAATATATAGTTTCTTTCTGGATTAAAAATTATAATATCCCATTAAAATGGCATGCCTTCTGAATAATTTGCCTGCTCTTGTGTGTTCATTTATCTAAGATTCAAGGAACGCTTGGTCAATGTTGCTACAGTAGGTTTTAATTTCTAAACCTATTCATGTACGTGCTAGACACTATTTCAGATTTTCTACTTTAAGAGAGTAATTACCAACGTAGACCGAGTATTAAATTCTAAAATAGTAGTGAACTAAATTTTATCATCTAGAACGTGCCAAGCCCTGTGTGTCCAAATTGCAGCCTAACGCCTTCAGGGCTGGTCGCACAAGTGCTGGAAGGTGCAGGATGAAAGCCGCTGAGATGGCAGGTCTGGATCCAACTAGAGGCTTAACAGGTTTGCCAATGCATTTATACTTTTAAAGACTTACTAGGAAACTGTGTTAGACACACAAAACATTTTGGGGAAGGGATTGAAACAAGGTCTCCTCATACATCCAGGCTGGCCTTAAACTCAGTATGTAAACCAGGGTGGCCTTAAACTTGAGCCAATCCTCCTGACTCAGCCTCACGAGCGCCAGGATTGCAGGCATGGGCCACCAAACATAGCTGAAACATAGTTTTGAGCCTAGGTCAGCTCATGGGTGTTAGGGTTGCAGTTCTTTCACATAATCCTTGGCAAATCTCTGCAGCCAACCTGCTGGCCTGCGTCTTTCTTACAGTCCTGGAAGCTGTAGGCACCAGCAAACACAGTCACAGGGGCAGCAATCCCAGGACTAAGCTGTGAAGGATCATAGGAGCAGAACCATCTGGGAGTACCTCTCCGAGGACAGAAGGATGCAGCAAGAAATGAACTCTTTTACCAAACAGAAGGCTGCACCTGAGAATACACACACATCCTTCATGCAGGAAAGACAGCGATTCTCTGGCGCTAAAGAAAATAATCCCCCAATCATCATTTTCCCCAAGATTTTGAAGAACAATTTTAATTTGTACATCTAAAATGAAAATTCATTCAGGATAGCCTCCATAAAGCCCAACCTTCCCACCTAGTCTTCAGAGCGCACAAGGTAGCAGGAGTTTTCAAATACATAAAAGCGCGAGCACGCACGCTGTGCAGTCCTCAGTGGGCAGCGCAGTATATACATGCACGCAAAAGACAGCGGCAGTGAAGCTTCCGCTGCTGGAGAACGCGGACGTTCTGACAAACGCGGAGCGCTGGGGGTCTCCTAGTTACAGTAATAAACACGCTTTCTTGCAACACAGCATCTTTAGCAGACGCTGCTGTCCTTTTATATTCAATAGACTGCTACACACGCCTTTGCGGCTGTTCCCCTACTAAAAGGCACATTTATTTCTTTGCGCATGTCTTTGCTAATGTCCTAAATTTGGGGTCCAGGTGATCTAGAAACTCCAGCCCTTCTTCCTCCTGCCGGTCGCTGCAGCAGCCCACCGAGCCTGCCACGGACCCTTTGCCTTCGTAGTTATATGTACGAACGTAGTCTTCCGAATGCTTATGTTCCTCGTCTTGGCCACACCGGTACACCTTCTGTATTGAGAAAGAGCACATTTTATTATTGTTTTAAAAAACACCTAAACTGATTAGCATAAAAATGATGTCTTGGATTTACCTTTTACTGTTTAATTTTTAATCAGAGTGTGTCCTCTAATGGATTCCTACATATAAAAAATGCACATGATTGGTCTATATTATATTCATTTTTAAAATATAGCAAATAAATCAATGTCACTAGTGAACACATTTATGAAAAATAAGGCTACATATACATCACGTAATTCATTTACAAGTTCCCATCTGCACATAAGATATGTATAGTTGAAATTTACCTCATTCAATTTTTCTCTTATGTGCGGAATCATAGCCAATATAGGCTATAATTCTTGTTTTTACATTGGCATATCACTATAATAGTGAAATATGTTAATTGGCTAATATCAACCTATACTGGCTAGTCTGAGCCAAAAGCAAAGCAAGACAAGAAAATAATGACAACAAAATTCTTAAAACCCCAAAGAAAAACTATTATTTTATCCATTAGGTCTTCATACATACATGAAAAGCTACAGCATACTCACAAGGTATGATTTACGATCTGTTCATTGCAACAAATATTTTACTGGAGATAGTTTCTTTGGTAATTTTAAGGAAAGAAACTACCAGTTTTTTAGTCTTCCTAGACATATCCACATACACTACACCTAAATAAAGTATGATAAAACGTATTTTCAAATTTGAAGTTCAGAAGGTTGTTCTACTCCTTGACTTTGGAGTTGACATCCCTATCTATACTAACTCAGAATTGAAGTGGTAATGTGCTCCAGGTGTATGAGTAGTAGAATTGGGGGAAAGCCTGACTGACAATGCTTTGCTTTCACGTGATGTGAACTCAAAGACTTACTTCGCCAAGCCGAGGCTGGGTGAAGCTCTGCCAGTCCGTGTAGGTGTACTTGCCGGTGTCTGTTCCTCCCTTCATGGACTCCAAGGTTTGATGGCCACCTCCTTTGTTGGAATCCAGAGTGTAGCCTCCTCTGGCCATCTCAAAGCTTTGCTGTCTTTTAATTCCCTGGCCACCAAGAGTGCCAACAGACACGCTTGTGTCACAGATGTTGGATGTCTGCATGGGCAGTCGAATATTTGCTTCCTAAAAATAAAGGCAAACAAAAAATGAATGAATCAAAATGAACCTGATAATTCCCTTTCTTCCTTACCCAAGGCAAGTCGCTTTCCTGCTGTGCTCTCTACATGTAAAAATCTGGATAATACAGGAGCCATACTGTAAATGTTACGAGTTGTGTCCTCTAAAAATTTCTATGCTCAGTCCCAACCACCAGTATCTCAGAATATGACCAAATTTGGAAACAGGGCCACTACAGACAGTTTCTTAGAGGTCATGCTGCAAAAGGTGCCTGATATACTATGACCTGTAAACTTCTTTACAAAAAGAGGCAATTTGAACACAGACAGATACAAGAAGAAGGTCGCACAAAGATTCGATTTACACTGCTACGCACTTGGGTGTCATGAGAGGCTGGAGAAAGGCGTGGCCCAGGGTCTTCCCTGGGGCCTTCAAATGGGACATAGCCCTAGCCAGCACCTTTATGTCTAATTTCTATCTTCCAAAACAGTGAGATGATAAGTTTCTATTGTTTAAATCACTTGACTCGTGGTGGCATCCTTTGAAACTAATGCAAAGAGATCCTGCGGTTTCAATGAATTAAACCATTCTAGACACTTGGAACTCTGCTTGGCATGGTATGTGCTCAAGTAACACCACAGGTGATTATTGCTGTTGTATATTAACCCAACTATCATCCCAGATCACCAGAGAATTCAATGGAAACTGAAATCTGATTTACCGTTACTTCTTCTCCGGGTCCTTCAGTATTTGATACAATTAAGTTTTGCTGGGCTACATCCTCTGGAAAACATTTCTTTACTTTTGTCTTAGTAGTGACACAGAAACATGCAAATATCATACCTAAAAAATTAAAGATTGAAGTAAAATTCTTTCTCCATTTGGTATACATTGAATAATTTGATTATAAGATTTTTAAAAGGTTCTCTATGCAAATTTTTAAAATTCATCTTATAAACTGAATTCATCTTATAAGATGAGGCTATATTATAAACTAAGGTCATATATAGTCACAAAAATTAAAACAGAATATTTAAAAAATGCAATACTTATTCAATCATTTCTGTCTTAAATTAATAATAGCTTCTTTCCCAGGTTCAAAATTATTGGTATCTCTTACTTGCTCCACACTGAAATAGTAACTTCATTTGACTGAAATCTAAGATAGTATTATTGATGTTTAAAATCATACATAATGCATTCAAAGGTCTTAGAACAACAAAGCGAAGAACTTTAGGCATAACTATGATCAGAAAGGAAATTTCAATCAGTGTTTGATTTTGAAAGTGTTCATCAACCGATAAGCCGCTAGCAGATACATTCAGTTCAATTTGAACTTCAAGCCCAAATGAATTAATACATAGTAAAGATGAAAGGATAAGTTGTAGATTCAGTGGTTCTTTGCAGATGAGAGACGTTTAAGTGTGAGGAATGTTACTACTTTTGCATCTCCAAAAACAAGTTTTAAGAGTACAAAAGCTTAGTTTCCTTCACATGCATTGCTTCTCTGCCACGGCTCCTCTTACAACCAGTTTCACTCCCTGGTGTGTTTTTATGATGTAAGCTGAACTTGCAGGAAGTTAGTGAACTCCTTCACTAACACTATGGTACACAAATGTCTAATCACTCTTCAGAACCACGTTGTTTTCACTAAATCTTTTTGCACTTGCATGTTCCCTAAGTAAATCTTGGCCCCTTGAAAGTCTGCAATAGTTAATATATGAAGAACTCTAATAATTTTATCCAATTTCTTCATTTTATATATGGAAAAAATATGTTCAAGGGATGAGAAATATTTAACCAGTGTTTCACAGCTACCTATTGAAGAATTAATGCTACTAATCCAAAACTTAATTTAAACATTTGAACCTGATTAACACATAAAACTGCGGTGAAACTTAAGCTAAAACATGCCAGCTAGGCTGGGGAGATACTTCAGAGGCACAGAGCCTGTGTGGTAAATGAGTTTGATTCCCAGTATCAGAAAGAAAAGACATCCCAGATAAAGATACTTACACAGTAACAGTGCAGCCCCCAGGATCATGGAAAGGATCGCCCACTTGCCAAGAATTACGTTTGAGCGTGGCACTTGGACGTCTCTGACGCTCATTCTGCATTCCGACGGAGTTGTGCAGTCACATACTCTCACTGACAAAACGTGTTTTGCAGAGACACCATGTCTGTCTTGTATGTGGATAGGCACAGAGTAATAGTCGTTCTCGAGATGTTGCCGTCCACGGAGGATGGCACGTTTACCTTGAGGGGAAGAAAAGGCAGAGAGAATGCATAGTGACGTGGAAGTTCAGTAGCAAGAGTATTTCCACTTGGTATTATTGGGAAGGATTAATCTGAAATACAAACATTGACCATTCATTATTTTCTTTCTTAAAAATTACTTTGATTTCTCACAGGAGCAGAAAAAAATTGATATTATTTTATGATCACATTAGACTGATCTACACTTAAAATGTTGCACAAATGGTTGTATAAAATGAACATATGTTTTCTTAAAAGATAGCTGAAGTAAAATCTAAATGTAAATATATATAATGTATATACATAATTTATATGTATAGAATTCATGTATAATATATATGGTATTCTGTTCTTAGAGTTGATAAAGTAATTTCCTAAAATGAATGTGTGTTTTGTGATAAACAAAGGTAAGCCTGAAGACCATCAGGCATCTTGAACTCCTGCTGATGAAAGGATTTGGAGCAGTTTCTTACCATCCTTGGGTTCTATACTCCAAAGTTTATTGACGGAACTATCCAGAAGGAATTCAAAAGGTGGCCCGTTGTCAGGCCCATCTGGATCTTCAGGCTCCAGAACAGCGTAATCTTGACTGTGCTGGCAAATGGTCACGTCTTTATCGATTTGTGGTGGGTGATCATTATAATCTTCCAAAAAGACGACTAGTGTTCCTGTGCAGGATCGGCCAGCTAAAATAAATAAAAAATAGGCAATTTTTTCACTCAGATATGTGTTTATTTTCAACAATGTATATAATACATCTGCTTTCAGACAGCATCCTAGACCTCAGGCATAGTTACTATGAAATGGTGACATGCCACTCTCCCTGGAAGGCTGAAGCCTGAGCCAGATATGTTTCCAGGTGCTTTGTAGGGGAGGTTTATTTGTTGTGGTTGGTGCCAAGGACTGAACCCAGGGCTTCCAGCTTGCTAGGCAAGCATTATCCCACTAAGCCAAATCCCCAGCCCCTCCACAGCTTTTTAACACTGAAGGTAGCCAGGTGCAGTGGTGCATGCCTATAACACCTGCACTCAGGAGGCTGAGGCAGGAGGATTGCTGCAAGTTTGAGGACAGCCTAGACCACACAGTGAGTTCAAGACCAGCTTGAGTTACACAGTAAAACCCTGTCTCAAAAAAATCAAATTAAACCACACACACACACACACAAAAGTGTAATGTTATAAGAAATGTAAGTGAAGAATAACCTGTCTGAAATTGATTTCTTGCATTCTTTTAAAGGCATATATTCATCCTTAGAACAAAATACTTTGTATGTGGCTATTGGTTATCTTCGCAGCCTCTTCTCTTGTTTCTCATATGTCTTTTGCTCAAAACTTGTTCTGGTTCCCTCATGCTCTCTGGGCACTTTCCTTCCTGTCTGCTTTGCTGCATTCTGTGACCACTGCCAGGAATACTTTGCATGGTAAAACTTTATTTTAACGTTTCTTTTGTCCCAGAGTGCCACACACGAAACACACAGTCTATATCCTCAGGCCAGCCCTGCTATCTTCATGAAACTTGTGACTTTCTGTGAACAGCCAAGTTCATACTCTCCCTGGTTTCCTCAGAATCAGCTGCTCACACTTAGCTGGTATATGAATGTGGGAAGCACTAAGACATACGGAGGGACCACAGTTCTTCACCTTAATTCATTCCATGGTTCTGGAAAAGAGGCCGCGCTTGTGTTTGTGTGAGGAAGATGGCCATGGCCATGTTTGTCACCCGATATAGAGTTCGCAAATAAAAATGAAGCTTGTCAAATGCTTGTTTGTGAACCAAATTGCAGACTAAAGCACTCATGAACCAGTATAGCCCTTTTTCGCCCGAGGAACCTAAAGTTCTTGACCAACTGTAAATTAATGCTACACTATTGAATATAATGCACTTATTCTTTTTATGCTGTAAAAAGATGTAATTGAGGGGCTGGGGAGATAGCTCAGTGTCTAAGCACCTGGCTGGCAAGCACAAGGACCCAGGTTCAATCCCTGGTATCACATGGTGGTGCACACCATAATCCTAGTGCTGGGGAGGCTGAGACAAGAGGACCACTTTGAGTCAGAGCTGCATAGTGAGAGCCTATATCCAACAAATAAATAATTTTTTGAAAAGATGTAATTCAGTAAGCCAGAAAAATGAGTTTGTATCCTGATCCTAATCCAATTAACACGGTCTTGTTAACAGAAACTGTCTCTTACTCATCTGTTTATTGCACTATTATTAGCCTAATGATTCACACATAAATCTCAAGAAGTAATTTAAGTTAAAGTCCTGCCTATCATTTGTGTCTCAGAAATAAAAAATTTTGGAAACATCTTCAAAATCTATCATTTGTAAAAGGATAACAAACTTCCATGAATGACATGATTTCAAAATTGAAATAAAAAAGCATGGCAACTGATCCAATTTCTCACTCTCTGACATTCATGTTGGCCCAAAATAATGACATATATATGTTGAATTTATCATATACAATATGAATTATATGAAAATATGACCTCTTTTCCCTCTTATTTTGAAAGAACTCCTAAAGTATACTGTGTAATGTAGTTCATAGAATTTTTTCTGTTAAATAATGACAAAATTAATTTATGCAGTGATTTTTAAACTATTTACTTTTTTTATATTCTATCTGAAACAAGTTTAAAAATTCCTTTCTAAGTTGAAAAGACATATGGCTGTTAAAAGACACTTACAATGTGAAAGTCTGCAATATTTTCAGACTTTGCTTGAAATTATTAAAATAGGCATCAGTCCAAGCCACACCTGAAAATAAAGTTTTAGATTTCCAAAACTACAAAGATCTCTTGGTAACTTTTCACTTTGTCTCTAGCAAACAGAGCCAAAGTAAGTAATTACTGATAATGGTTGAAAAGGTAACTGGACATACTTGTGTACTTCAAAGCTTGTAAGTGCATAAGCCATGGTAAGTATCGGCGAGTAGGGAGTGTCACAGCCTCAGGGCTGGTAACTGCATTCTAGGCTAAGTAAATCCACTCTCCTGACACTTCCACAAAGAAGAACTCTAAAAATCATTATTTCTCCCTTGCTATTTAAGTGTTTTCAGAAAACAGAAGCTCACTGTTAATGAATCAGCCCGCCACAAATGTAAAGATATTAGGTTCTTTCTTCTTAAACTTCATTATGGCTTCTATTAATTTCCAGCAATGTGTTCATGTTTGTTTAGACTCTACACACACAATGTTTACCTCTTCCATGTGACAGCCCTACAGTATTTGTTATAGAAAATTACTTTTACAGAATAAGAGAATATTTTGCAATTTTTAAGTTCCATTTTCTATGTTGAAATAATTTGTTCAAGTACTACCAGTGATGCTCCCAGAATTAGGGAACTTCACAAAGTGAACCTGGGACTCTGAGAGAACAGAAGAATGACAGCTCTCAGTATCTGCATTAAACAAACCTATGCCAAATTCTCTCCTAGATGTCTGTTGAAGGTCTGGTTTAATTAATGACAAAGGGTGCTTGCATAAAATTGACCTTGAACTCCATTTAGGAGAACAGAATTCATGCAAGAATAATAGAAGTATCCTTTCAGAGCAAAACCACATCACCACTGCAGCATATTTTTCCTAATGCAAGAGATTAAAAGCCTTTAAGAACTGACCAAAGGTTAGTAGGAATAATCACAGAAGTTGTTATTGCCATTCATTTAAACAATTCAAAGAACTTAATTTCAAACTGGAAAGGCTATGATATGCTAGGTGGAATGCATGTAAAACAGTGTACTCTAGAGGCTTTTGTTTTAAAGCTACAGAAAAAAATAGGATTAAGATATCTGAGAAAGCATTGTAAGGGTGTTTTATTGTCAAAACATCAAGAGAAAAAACTCTTAAACGTGAGGTTTCATTACTTTCAACTTCCATTAATTTCCATGGAATTTGATGTGCTTATTTCCACAATTGCCCAAGCATTATGAAGTTGATTTAAAGATAGATTATAGCACTGCTGCCTCAGCTAGTTTGATTTAAACATCCATCTTATACACATAAAAGCAATGAAACTTTCTTGGGTTAGGTAGTCAAAAGAATCAGTTCTGTGGGGAAAACCCAGTTGTCTCAAATGGGCGTGTATGCAATTGATATGATGGCGTAAACTACTGTAACTTCTATTTATACTTTTATATTTATGTTGCATATTTCTTTGAGACACAAAAAATATTAGCATAGTGGTATATGTAGATTAAATAAACACACTAGTAAGCCCTTCTAACATTTGTAACATTTGTAAATCATATTAAAATAATTTACTGATAGGAATATATGTTTAAAAGGGTTGCATGATCCCTATAATATTTGAAGAACATTCTTTACAAAACAGATTCTAGAAAACCTCAGAGACTGCAGACCATGAAGAAAAGAGTTTTCATGTGCTCCTTTGTTTAAGAAGTAAGAGAACAAATGCTTTGTTCTCCATTAAGAACAGTTTCAAACAGACTGCCTAGAACCTAAGTGTGTTAGGCTGAACACTTTCACCAAATTCAAAGCATGAAGACCTAAACCTGTGCTTAAGAAAAAATCAGAGATCCTCGAATATGCCACTGCTTCCTCACCAAACATAGGGTCATCCCATCCTGCAAAGTCAGACTCTGACCACTGATGCTTCTGTAGCTTCGCCGTGTGCACATCCTGCCACCAAATTTGGTGGCCCCAATAAAATAAGCAAGCATAACGTTTTCACTTCTGCATTGCAGTTACATTAATACAAATAGTTTGCATTAAATTTTGGAAATAAACAGAAAAATTTCAACTCAAAATAAAAAATAAAAATAAAAATTTCAACTCAAATTTTCTTAGAAACATATTCTACATATATATTTTTTTCCTTTCTTTTTTTTTTTTTTTAGAAAATGGCACTCACCTGTATCCACTGCCACAACTGAAACATTGTACTGGTTGTTTTTTACAAATTTTGATTCTCTATCTAGTATTTTCACAGTTTTCAAATTTCCAGTGTTTTCATCAATGTTAAACCAGTTATCTTCATCTTTTATCTTCTTATATCTAATTTATAGAAATCAAAGAAAAGTAATCAAGCAGAGAAAAAGAGGTCGACTTAAAAACCATCATTTTGAAATATACATAGAACTCTAGTTTCAAAGTCAATTTACACTCTTATTAAAGGAACTTTTGAAAAGTACGTCACCTTAAGCCTTCCCCGTTGCGTGATTCTGGGTCCAGCGCTTTGTAGCCCAAGAGCTCTTTGCCAATTGGGAGGCCATCTTTACTCTGAATGACTTTCACTGGTGGTTGGCATTCAGGCCCCTCATCACTGTCTTTAATTTTAACAGTGACGGTTGTGGTACACATTGTAGGAAGGGGTGAGTTTGCTGCTTTAGTAAACTGTGCTTCATTAAGTACACCAATTTGCAAAATGACTTGACGATTGAGCTCGTAGTTCAACGGCTGTTCAATAAACACATTTTCATCAGTCAGTCAGTAGGCGCAACTGTATAGAAGACTTACAGTTATGATAGCAGGTTTTAACACAAAGGCAATGCCATTTTTACATGTAAAACATTACTGAGCATTCATGCTAATAGATGTTGGTAATCAACTTCCTGTAATGTTAGAGCTGTCAAATATAAAATTATTGATGTTAGATGTCAGTCATTTTTTTTCTTACTTTTAAAAAAAAATTTATTGCAGGGACTACAGGGTCTCACTACCCAGATTGGACTCAGTGACTCTCCTATTTTCAGCCTCCCAAGCTCTGGGACTACAGGTGTGCGCCACCTGGCCCAGTCTCAGTCGCTGGCTCAGTATGCCCTGGGGGCAGCAGGCCCAGCAGGCCAGAGATTGAACCCCCGCCACTGCACCCTGCCGAAGCAGGCGCTGTAGTTCACTGAGCTATCTGGTCGGCCCTTTTCTCACTTTTTGAAGATCTTAGGTTCAGGCTTCTCATTCATTTATTAATACAAGTGCAGAAAAAAGTGCTTTTAAATATTCAGATGTGCTTGCCAGGGAGGCACTTGTGCCACTGAGCTATCTCCCCTGTCTTAGGTCAGCTTAGTGTCTGCACAAAGAGCTCAGTGCCATTCTAGATGATTAGAAAAACTTCTGAAGACAACATTTAAAGAGTGAAAGCAAAAGCAAAAGAAATTTAAAAGGTAAAGAAAGAAAATAAATGAAGGAACAAGAAAGAATAAAAGAGTATACAACACAATACAATAATTAACACTTGATGAAGCCTCTGAGAACACGGTATTTCTCTAACAAAGCAGTGAGGTGAGACAGCAATAAGTTAGTGAGGATAGTGGACCAAAAAACTCAGAAAGCACTAGTCACTGCCTAAGATCTCTTCTGAGGTAAATATTTGATTTCATATTCCTATTTCTTGGCTCTTGTTTTCTTTATATAGAGAGCAATGAGCAATTTCTGCCTGATATAAGGACAGCCATGTCTCCTCTAAGAAAATAAATAAAAGTACTTTCAATAAAATAAACAAGTTTATATACCAACGTCTCTCAGCACGGCTGCAACATCACAGTCACAGTGTATGGAAAGTTGCTTCCGTGTCACGGCACCAGCGCACTAAGTTGGAGCACTTTAGAGCGGTGCTTCATTATGCTTCATTATCTCGTCCACGTACCTTGACAACACACAGGATTCCTTCGTTGGTTTCTGGGTCTGTGCTAATCTTGAAGTTGCCGTTCTCATTTCCTTGTAGGATTGTGTACACAGCCTTTGAGTGAGGAGTGTGTGCTAAATCTTGGTCCTGTACCGTCATCCGCAAGATCACAACATCTATTCTATTTTCTTCTACTTCAGTAAAATACTGGAAAAGATGCCATTCTACGTTATACATCTGTGCCTTTAACAATACTGTTTTCCACACTAAAGATTATATTTAAAGAAAAAGTCATATGAAAATGTGTACTTATATGTTAAGAAAGAATTTATAAGTTTAATGCATAGTTTAGTCTTTTCTCTTAAGCTGCTTTTTTTTCGAATCTTTTCCAAATTCTACATAAATCTTACCTTCTGAGTTCTCTGACATGATTTTTCAGGGCCCTTTTTTCCTCCCTCAGATTTATGTCTTCTCAGAGCTTCTACAGTAATTACAGTTTATGCTCCATTTTAGATAAAGCAAGCACTGAATACATGCTTCATGTTAATATATGAAGCACTCAATATCTTTACATAATATTACGTATATTGATTTATTATTAGATGACTTACTTTCATGTTAATATTTAAAATTCTTTTGATTCAGTGGTAAATATTAATTTTTCCTTTTTCTGAGAAAGTAAATCATAGACTTTCCCACAAAAGAACTATGATTATAAGAAACATAAATTACTAAAAAAATAAAATGGTAATAATTTCAAGTCTTTTAAAGATGTACAATGAATTCACAGGATGATAACATTTGGATCTAGGTTTTTTTTTTTTTTTTAATCTAGGTTTGGACCAGTTATTCCTTGTAAATGGTCTATGAGATCTTGGACAAGTCACTGACACAGCCTCCATTTCTGCATATTAAATATGGGGTGCAATGCACCTTCACACACGTGGGAATTATTGTAAAAACATGACTGTGACTACCATAATGGTTGCAGCATTTTTATTTTTGACTTGTACTCTGGTGTTGATTAATGAAAAGAATGGAGTGTGACTCATTAAAACTTCAAAAAGGAAAGAGCCATTTCCTTGTTACAGCCTAAGAGAAAGTCCACTTCGGAATGTGGAGATTAGCATGTACTCAGATTCCAGCAGAGAATAAAAAGCTAGTTTCTTTGTCATTCTAAGAACAAGAGGACATCAGGGAGAGGACCTCTTCTTCTTATAAAATAATTCAAGTCCAAGGAATTTGCTACTAGAGAACAATCCAGAAACCTTGGACCACATGAGGGGCATCAAAGACTAAGCAGCTCTTAGCTACCGAGGACATTGCTATTCCTGTGGCATCCGGAAATAACCAGCACCTCGGGTGTTTTTACCAAGACTGGCCACCTCGGGTGTTTTTACCAAGATCATTTTCTTGTCTGTGTTATTTGTGAATGGAAACTATTTAAGTCAAAATGTGTGATTTCACTGGGCGAACAAATTGTGCATTTGCTTTGGAAAAGTAAATTCAGATCAATGAATCAGGGAGCGAGATGTACTCACAGAAGTTTGTGTGAAATATGGTGAATTGTCATTTTCATCTTCAAGTGAAATAGTAATTGTTCCAGTGGTAAACAAACCAAATGGTTGGCCCCCCATGTCTCGCACCTCCATTATTAATTGATAAGTATCACATTTCTGGAAAAAACAAAAGCAAAAAAAAATGTACATTCATGTACACTTTTCCTACAACTTGCAATTACTATAGTCATTCTTCATGCTGTGTTTATTTTACAAATATTATTTAAAATATATATTTTATATGCATCATATATTGAAACAGGGCCTTGGCTGTGCTAAGCACATGCTACACTCTTGATCTATAACTGTAGATCCTTATGTTTTTTTAAAAGGACGCCATAAACATAAATACAAAACAAAAGATTTGCCCATCAGCACAGTGAGAAGCTGAGACTCCTAATATGACATTTCAAACTCAAAGCTACCTTTTTATAACTGACAAAATTTGTGAAAACTCAAGGTGTCCATTAGTGGATAACTGGATAAACTGGTACACTCAAACATTCAAACAATGGAACACTTTTGAGTACTAAAAAGAAGCAACCTAGCATGCCATAAAAACACATGAAACAAATCTAAACATAAATTACTAATTTATTAGAAATAAGCCAATCAGAAAAGGCCACATACTGTTTGATTCCAATTATATGACACTGGGAAAAAGTAAAAGCTACAGAAATAGAAAAAGATCAGTGGTTTCCAGGAGTTTTGAAGAAAGAGATGTGTAGGAGTACAAAAGGTTTTTAAGACAGTAAAATCACTCTGCAGGGTGCTTCCGTGGGTGGGTGTCCTTGTGCATTTGTCCAAAACCACAGAACATACTGACCCAAGAGCAAACCCAATGTACACAGCACTCCTTGGGTGACAGTGATGTGTCAATGTAGCTTCAGTGATTGTAGCCAATGTGCCTCTGGGGTACAGGTGTTGATCTTGAGGGGTCTGGGTGCATGGCAGGTAGGCAGTACCTGTACCATCTGCTCAATTTGCCTGTGAACCTCAAATCACTTTCACAAAGGAAGTATGCTAATATTTTTAAAAATTAAATATTTTGGAATCAAACAAGTTTGCTTTTATAAGATAAAAATGAAGTAAAACAAGTTTTAGCACTGGTGCATCAAAGCAGTTCAGTGGCAGCAAGAGAGACCTTGCCTAACATTTTGCACCACACCAGCATCTCTGCAGCCTACAGGAGAATGCTCAGAGAGGCGGCCACAATGGCCATATTGTACCTGGTCATGGGAGTTTGTTATCAATGTCTGTGTAGCGTAATGACTGAGAAGTCAGCTGACCGATCCATTACCTCTCTATCCAGTAAAGGAGTAGTTGTTGTGATGACCCCTGTGTCCGGATGTATCGTGAAATGCTTTGGATGATCTGGAATTTGCTGCAAGATTTTGTATTTCAGACGAGTATGTAGGGTGTCAGGTTCATCAAGGTCTATAGCAGTCACCTGTCCTACAGACGTACCTGTTTAGACAAATTAAATATTGTCAACGATTAAAATGATGACAGAATTATTAACAACAAAAAAAACACTGAGGTATTTGAGTAGCAAATTGTATCCCAAACCACAACAACAGATGAGTTTTGTAGAGCATCTGAGACAGTATAAATGTGCTACAGAAGACCAATCTCCTCTTCCTTGCAACTCCAATTAGGAGGCTCCAGTGAGGGACAGGATTTCTATTTCACGTATATGAGAGCACTCCCCACCTGTGCTTGGTGGCTATAGTTCCCAAATTCTTTTTTCCAACCTGTTATCCCAGTTCAATGGCTATTTTTGAATGAGGGCTTTCCTGCATATTTTGTCATGTTTATAGTACAATCTAATGATGTTAATTAGAGATGTATCTAAGTATATGAAAACAAAACATTTATTTAATATTTAATAAGTGTGTTGAATTATTAACCTGAGGAAGTAATTATTACTCTATATAATAAACATTATCTAGAAGTCTATCATTTAGGCAAGCTTCATAGCACAGACACAAGAATATTAGGAATAGAGCTTTAGCCACCTTCTAATTGTGAAGCAAACATATATGGATAGATAGAGATAGAGATATCAATAGAACAGAGGAGATCATGAGAGCTAATGACATTTCTTGCAAATTTTTAAAATGAAGACTCTAATTTGGTAAGCTTTTTGGTAGGCCTATGTCACAATCTTGACTTCAAGCCAGTTAGTTTATTTTTTATTTGTTTGAACAAAATGTCAAAAAAAACCCAATATATATGTTGTTATAAATATTATCAGCACATATCTATTGTTATAATGTCCTATATGTTTCTGATTCCTAGAAAATATATAAGACCCTTATAAAAATTCCCATTATATAAAGTTTTAAAAACATAGCCATGACACATTCACATACTAAAGACAAAAACTTTTAAGAACGTTTGTCTCTTGCACAAATTCATCGTGATTGATCTTCTAGTTAAAACTTTAATGTAGACTTTTTAGCAGGCACAACAAACTGAACCAAAAAAAGCTCATCTTTATATAGCAAATGGTCTTACAAAACCTTTTAGCTGCACAGTCTATATCCTTGAAAGTCAAGCATTTCGCAACGTCCTACTTGGTTGTTTGAAACACTAATGAAGAATTCAACTGAGACAAATACCTTTTGAATCTCTCGTCATCCTCGATGCTGGCTAAAAGCTTAAGCTAAAATGAAAGCTGATATCCAACAGGCTTTTAACAAAGAGAATTCACAAAAACAACACTGATACTATATGAGTAAAAGCTGGTACCACACATTTATCATCCACCAAAGTCAAGCTCTCTGAATTTCAACTGTCAGTTAAAAACTCTTGCTTGGTCCCATAAAATGTTCTTGCAACTGCTTTTTTTTTTTTTTTTTTTTTTTTTTAATGTCACTTTCTTTCTTTTGTTACCCTTTTGGATTAAAAGGAAAAATAGAATTTTCCTCACATTTGCCCTTCAGATACCCTTAGATAAGTATCATTAAGAAAAAAAAAATGAGTAAATGAACAAATGAAAGAATATAGACTGTTGAAACATCCACATGCAAAACATACTCCACACTGGTAACAGCCAACTTCACGGAGAACTGAGGCAGATATGTATATATTATCATCAGTTTAAATATAAGAAAACTTGCTCACACCTATCTGAGCCTTAAGAGGGATATCATATAACATCAATTTCTTTCTCTTCTTTCTTCCTTATTTTTTTTCCTCTTTTGATACAGGGTCTCCTCACACAGTTCAGACTCTAGTGGTCCTCCTGTCTCAGCCTCCACAGTGCTGGGATTACAATTATACACCACCACGCCCTGTTTCTGGGTGACCCGGTATACCCAGGGTTCCAGGGCCAGCCTGGAATGCGGTACTGGGGATCAAACCTGGGTTCTTTTGCTTGCCAGGCAAACACTTAGACCACCAAGCTGTACCAGCAGGCCTAACATCAATTTCTAATAGGGGGAAAAAGTGCACGCAATCAGAAATACCAAAAAACTATGAAATGCAATGATGGACACAAACATTTTATGATATTTATTATCTATTTTTAAATTTTATTTTTATTAGTACCTATTTGCAGTACCTAATGATTACACTCACTGTGGGGAGTTCGTACCTGAAGATAACACTTCCTAATTATTTTCGCGTCCCTTTCCTTTACCCTTCCTTTCCGCTCCTTCCCCCTGCTTCTTGTCTCACCACTGTAACATGCGAACTTACCAGTTCTGCAATTTTCAGGCACACTAAACACTGTCAATTTGGTTTCAAAATACGGAGCATTATCATTATCATCTTCAACTTTGAATAACAAGGGGAGGGGAAAATCTGGTGCGTAGCCATCTGCAGTTGTCACATAGCCATATATCTGAAAGAAGAAAAAAGAACCATTCGCTAGTCTGCAAATAACAAATTATACACAACCATGAGCCTAGCAGAAAGCAAATGTGTCATTTAAAAAACTTACCCTCACACGTCTCTATAACTAGGAAACCATGCAGCAGAGAGAGAGCACACAAGGGCCACATATGCCTGCCTATAATCTCCTGCAGGAATGATTTCTAACTTTCTTCCCACCAACGACCGTGCCTTCCAAGCCCCACGAACTCCAGGTAGTCTCCACATTAACTGGTCCCTACTTAGTAGAATGGTGTAGACTTCCTCCAGGAAGACTGACAACAAATACTTGTAAAAATTTATTTAAAATACATAATTATTTCCAACTTACATATGCATATAAATATATATTATAATCATCTCTAAACAATGTCTCTTCACGTTTTTGTATTTTCTATCATTATCCTGGCTTACTTTCTAATAAAAAATTAATAAAAGCATTCACATATCTTTTTTTTTTTAATTTTAGGGAAGGGTCTACAGGGTGTTCAAGGTCTCACTACTAGATGGGACTTGTAGTGCTCCTCCTGCTTACAGCCTCCCAAGAGCTGGGATTACAGGCTTGTGCCACCACGCCCAATCTAAAAGCACACACCTATCTTAACCATCAAGATCCAATGCTCTTTTTCCCCTTTTCAATTCCATCACTTGATTTCTGTGCTCACTTCACATGATTTAGGCATTGTAAATGTCCAGTAAAATATTTAGCAAAATGAATTTTCTTTACCTAAGTCTGCCTAAAGCAAAGTCTGTATTAACTTAGCTGTTTACTACAGATCTTCCTGATTTCTCCACCACACCCATCTGTAAAATGAACGAGACTGAAGTTCCAGATGCCAAACTCTGCCTTTGCTCTCACTAGCCTTGTGAATTTCTGGAGACTGTGCAGACTTTGTGGCCCTATCATCCAACTTCTCACAGCCGCCTTCTCCAGGTGGCTCAACTGCCCCATATGTGACCAACTCCAGACTTCCCTGTAGCTGTCCTGACTTGCCCTTCTCCAGTCCATGTAGCACACAGAAGTCAGACATGATTTTAACCATGACACTACCTGATCAGACTCTTAATGATCTAGTGACCCTCGGCTGCAGTCACCACCAACTCCTCCCTGTTGTGTTAATAGCGTTTTACCATTCATGCTAACTTAAAACGGAATGAATTTCACCTCTCCAGGGGACAAAATGTATTAAAACAGCCTGCTAGGAACATGGCTCAGTGGTGAAAGGGCTTGCGTAGAAGGCGCAAGGTCTTCCGTTTTATCCCCAGCACTTTGAAAATAAAAAACGAACCAAAAAAATCTATGTTCTCCCTGATTCCTTATTTGCTTTCCCCCAAACAACCGTAAGATTTCTTTTTTTAAATAAAATTTATATGTTTTTTTCTTTTCATTTTATCTATTTGGTACAGGATCTCACTACACAGCTCAGACTCATAGTGATTCCCCTGTTTTCAGCCTCTCCAGCGCTGGGATTATAGGTGTGTGCTACCACGATGACTCGGCTACACAACCAAACCCTGGTCCACGCACTTGCCTAATCAGGTGCTTAGTCCGCTGAGCTATCTCACTGGCCCTAAAGTTTATATCTTGATTTCTGCAAATCTGAACTCTTTGTCTTATTCCTCAAAAACTCTTCAAGCTCAGGAATGAAATTCAGGGCTACAGCCTCAATACTTCACCCCGCTGCCGCTGCCACCTCAGTCACCTACATCACCACACCCTTGACATCTGGATGCCTCCCTCCTCAGCTGTGCGTGCATTCCCTCCTTCTTTCCTGTATAGATGACCTGCTCTTGTCTTTCACCAAATACTGCCACTTTTAAAGTGTTTGACCAAAGAAATAGCACTTTACGTGAAGTACGTTTTCCTTATGTCTGACTACACGTAAATATGGTCTTACATGCTCCTGCTTCAGTTGCAATGATTTCAAGTATGAGCCAAGAATGTCCAAAGTAAACTGTAATTGAGACCATGGTAGCCTGCAGGATGGCTTGAACTAGGAAAGTACTTGAATGTCATAAACCAACTCTTCAGGAAAACCCAGTCATACTCACAGAATGGAATAACAAATGATGTTTCCTTGGTCTTTAGCAAGACCTTCAAAAAGAACTCAACAGCAGTAGTGGCTTTGCACACTAGATCCCATTATTCTACACTAAAAGCAATAATAATGAACTTAAATATTAGTATAACAAGACTAACAAATATTAGAATTATTTTTAGCCAGGTTATAAGATTGTTATGTAAAGGTCATGGGCCTGTTATTGACACATTTTTTTCCCCTTTTGAATTCTTCTGGAACCTGAAAGACCTGATTCCTTTCAATCTTTTCACACTCAATTTTGTCAAATTACTGCCCTCCTTGGAAAAATGCAAACTACTACAGAAAGGAATTGGAATTTGAGAAGCTAGGACTATTACTTTTTTTTTTTTTCCCCCCCGGAACTGGGGATTGAATTCAGGCCCTTACGCTTGCTAGGCAAGCACTTATTCTACTGAGCCATCTCCCCGGCCCCTAGGACTATTACTTTGGCAAAGAACTTCTTTATTACCTTCTCTTACAATTCAGGAATAAGTGTTCAATCCGTATCACTCATGATTAGCCCTTAAAACCACAGTGAATTAATCTCAGACATCAGGTTAGACATCAGAACCCAGAGAGGTGTGCAACTTGAAACAACAACAAAAGGGTTTAACTTGCAGAAGAGAATTTGTGTTGGGATAGAATAAGATAGGTTAGAGAATTTATTCTGGGTTACTGAGGAAATAAAAAGGTGTCCAAGGATTCCATTGCTGAAGGACAGGGGGAGAGAGAGGAGAGAAGGAAGCGATCCTCCTCACGGCGAGGATCCAAGCACAGTGGGTAAACATTTAGAATCACTTTGGACAACTGAGACCTAGCCTGGAACAACGAAGGCACAATTGCTGAGCACAGGTGCAGAAGACCATCTGCATTTTAACAAAAGTTTTTCCTTTTCCTATTATTCACATTACACAGTCACAGTTGGGAATCACTGAGTGCTTTCTTAGAGAGAACTTTGAACTAAATGGAAATGATTCCTTCTCCAGGATTCTGCAGATCAAAATCTGTCCTTTACTATTCGGTTGTTGTATTTTGTATTATCTTCCTGCACCTTTATTTTATTTTATTTTATTTTTGTTTATATCCACTGTGTATCTGGTAGCAATTGCACTATTAGCAACTGGAAGTTGATATTGACTATTAAAAATATTTCAAAAACTAAGTAAAATATTTAACTTTTAAATAGGTCAAAAGCAACACTGAACAATTATAAACAAGTAACAAAGGTTCAACTCTAAATAAATATTTCAACAATCATACCAAAAACTGATTGTACTGCTCCCGGTCAATGCTTCTTGTGCAATAAATGTCTCCACTGTTTTTCTCTATGTAGAACAGGTTGAAGGGCTCTTTGTCCACTCCTGGCCCACTTATGGAGTAAAAGACAGTGTAATTCTGTGCAGCATCAGACTGAATCTAGAGGAATAAGTGACAATTTAGGGCCAGAACAGAGATGTCACACTATCTTCAACCTAACCTAAGTGTGGCTTACTTGTCCCCATTTATTTTCTTTTCTACTTCCTGGTTGTTTTTTCCTCTCTTTATTTATCAACTATCTCCCACGTTTTGCCAACGATTATATGTACTTTATAATGAGCAATGCCACAGGTTCAGTCACTTGTTTGATCCTATGTTCCTTTACTATTTGAATAGTTATACAGTTTGTGGAGTATTGTGCCTTTATCATTCTGATTCACTTATTTTAATCCCATGTAAAGTATAGCAGCATTTTCAGTAATTTTGAATTATTTGGAACTGCAAATTATATGACTACAAAGATAATACAGAAGTAACACAAATTTTCTTGCAAATTAATTCTTCAAAAATCAGGTAGTCCCAAAACTCTCTTATGCTTTCATTTCTGTTGTGTGGCAGGAAGACAACCTTATATGACAAATAGAAACGTGATCAGTTTGTGGAGCTTAAGCTTTAAGCAAGATTTGAATCGGGTAAAAACCTATAATCTTGCTATACATGAGTGTTGAAAGGCCTGGCAAAGTATTTGGGTGAATTTGGTTGTAAATTTATGGTCTCAGGACACTCAGAATACGAAACGCAGTCCTAAATGTACATGTCTTGTAGAAGGAAGCAATAAAGCACATTGGATCACTTCCCTGTGACCCTAATTCCTGTTAAGAGACCACCTTATTACTATCAACCATTCAAGCTGCTGATTCCATATGCTGTGCAACTTTCAAATAGAATGCTTTGACAGCAAGAAGCTTTAAGAAACATGAAACCCTGTAAAAGATGAAATGACCTGCTGGACGTGCTGGGGAAATGGACCCAAAGAGTTCTCCATCAGCGAACAGGGAATGGGAGCCCATCTTCTCTTGCTGCGCCGGAGAGATGTACTTTTAGGATGTCTCCTCTTAGGATCCTACATTTGGTTAAAAATAATAATAATAATAATAATAATATAAACATTGTTTTTCATTCTTGGAATTGTGATTTTCATAGAAAATCATTATTCTAGTTTTAGTAATAAGACACATGTACACTCGCACACACAATTTTGGCCTCAAGCTATCTTATTTTTTCTGAGCATCTGTGGGTTTCTAAGTTAGCTAGGTCACAATCAGAAATATGTACAGAGTTGAGGAAAATGTCACATTGACATGCTATAGACACCTCCAGTAGACAATCCATTAACAAATACTAAGAACTGACTCTTCCATGAGAAATGACACAAGCAAAATTTGTTTAAGCTCTTTCTATAGTGTGAAAATTTATAGACCAAATAAAGACACAGGGCAGCATTTTCCCAAGTATGTTTTATTTTATGCAATGTAGAGATTCTTCACAACTTGGGTAAAAATTGTTCTGTAAGACTTAAGAATATTTTAAATTCAGTAAAGAGGAATTCTTGCAATCAGAAAGAATTTAGCTTGGAAATCCATCTACAAATTAATCACTTCTTAGTAAATTATTGTATAAGACTAAAATCTCTGTGCTGAGTTTTCTGAAAGTAAAATGAGACATGAATTCCAGAAAACATCTCCTAGGAACACCACCAGCATTCACTACAACAAAAAGAATGAGCGTGGATTTGAGACACATTGGCCGCTGGACTGGCCACTTCTTTACCTCTGAAGAGAGGGACCTCAGGGAAATTTCTATTGCAATGGGAGGAAGTTTGAGAAGATCTCTTCTTTCATAAGAGTCTCAAACCCACAGTGAATTTGGAGGGGGCCTTGCAGGGTGGAGCTCCATGCCTCCAAGGGCAAGACTCATCCCTGCCTGCACTTGTTCTCGGCTTGGTTGTTCTCACCGCCCCACCTCAAAGCGCTCTCGGGACTTTGCATAGTCGGACTGGCTCCCTGCAAGAATCTGTTGTCATTGTGCAACTCTGCAAAGAGCTCTACTACTCCTTAAGAGTCCACGCTTCACTTATGTTAATTATGAGCAGAAAGGAAAAGCAGTCATTTGAGGATAGCGACTTTAACCAGAAAAGAAGCATATGAAAGAAAAAAAAAAAAAAAAGGAGCCTTGTGATTGCATTAATGTTCAAAGCTATTTGAATACTTGCTATACCTTTTCTGTAGATAGCACCAGTGAAATATAGTTCATTTTCTGTTGATCTGCATCTGTGATTAAAACGGTAATAGGTGTTGGAGAAGACAAATGGAGGTCACGTTGTGCATAAATTGTGCCATCTTTTTCAACTTTAAAGTCCTTTGGGTTGGCACTGCTGTCAGCGATTACGGCATCAGGCTCAGCATACTTCTTCAGGTCCACTGCAGGAAAGATATTTCATAGTAGCGTGTCAAGTGAGACAGGAATAGAACAAGTCTGGCTGGATCCACAGCTGCGATCAGCGTGTGAGAAGCAGCGAGAGGGCGGCTGCCCCGAACACCTGCTCCTCTGAAGCTTAGGGGCCATGACAATGACATAACCAAATGAGCAGGCACCTATTTCTCATTGCTTTCATCACACTCGGAAAACTAAATTATTTTCCCAGTGTCATTGCATTCACTCTTTTCACTTTTTCTAATGTATGTGCTGTATTCCACTCAATGATATTGACTGTATGATGATATAAACTGGTGTACATTCCCTGGAAGCTGTACTTGACGCTGAATTTTGGTCTTTTCTCAGGCTAGTAGTGAGTGGTGGAATCCTCTGTAGCAATGCTGGGCAGGGGGAGTGAGCTGCAGCTCCAGGCGAGCCTGGAAGGGACTCCACTGAGACTCCGTAGCTGTGTTTCTCAGCTACGATGGTGGTTGGTTAGGTGTACTAGATACAGGTTCTACTTACAATATTTCCAACTATAATGGGTTTATCAGGATGCAATACCATGGTAAGTCAAGGGGCATAGGCAGGTAGGCAGGTAGGTAGGTAGGTAGGTAGATAGATAGATAGATAGATAGATAGATAGATAGATAGATAGATATGCACATATATAAATACATAGATATGTTGTTTTATATTGACAAATGTTTGGTTTACCAGTAGATTACTGTTTTATACTCCACATACTATAACTATTTGACGTCAGTAGGTTTTTGAATTGCTTGTAGTAAGACTTTGATAGTTAAAGCTGTTGCAACAAATTAAAAATATTTCTCTACTTTTTTCTTTCTTTTTTCTTTTTTTAGTTTGTTAAGACAGTGTCTCATCACATAGTTCAGGCCTGCCTTGAACTGACTATGTAGCCCAGGCTAGCCTTGAACTCATGGTAAATCACCTGCCTCAGCCTCCTGAGTGCTGGGAGTTCAGACATGTGCTACCACCCCTGGCCTGGTCTACTTTACTTTTAGGTTTATTTTAATTTTCCTTGCTTATATTATATTACAAATAAACATTTTGTGACACTTTTTTGAAGTTTAACAAACTCTATTTAGTACGCACAGATCACTGAGGTAGTAAAAGTCATCAGAATTTTGACTTTTACAAACTGTGCTGTGAAATTGACCGTATACATTCTTTTCTGTCATTGTTTTTGTTTTTGAGACCATGTAGCGCAGCATGAGCTGCAGTGTAGTCTCACTATGTAGTGCGGGCTGTCCTCGAACTCATGGCAGTCCTCCGGCCTCACCCTCCCAAGTGCTGGGATGAAGAGGTGTGTGCCTTCACACCTGGAAAACCATATAAGTTCTTGATGAACATATGTGGATTGCTGTCAGGTCTAAGCGCATATTTTATCTGGGAAATTTCTGACACCTTTGTTTTGTGTGTGAACAATTAGAGAAATTTGACATTAGAATTTGGGCAGCTGATAAATAGGTATGAAATAAAATGTACTTCTGGCTGTGGGACTTTTCTTCAAATAATTTAACTTTGTGATATTTACTAATTTTTCTGGCAAGAAAAGTACATGACTAACTTTGGTATTTTAATTCTTTTTAACCAGCACCAAAAAATAAGCAGCCTACATTCCACCTTATGGCCAGTTTTAGTGGCAAGTAGCTACTCTATGGCTTTTATCTCAGACTTTACAAGGGCAACCAAAGCTAAATGTAGTAAGATGCAAATATTAAATTCTCAACACAGTTTCTCACCTTTGGCAACTACTTTATTAGCTGGAATAAAGGAAGGAACGTAGAAAACAATTTCTTGATAAGCATCACCAAATAATAACAGAACCTCAAAAAGAAAAAAAAAAGAAAAAGAAAAATCAGGAATAACACTTAACCATACATTTATATTTGTTTTCTCTTATTGGTAATAATGCTGTCAGTTTATAAGTGAATTAACCTTTTAAATACTCCTTTTTTAATATTTATTCTAAATGTAACCAGCAAAGCAAATTGATTTGGGGACACTATAGTCATTTAGAGTCAATAAAAACAGTGTGAGGACAGTTCTTAGAAATCTACATCATATATAATTGCAAGAAAATATGTTAGAATCCACTGACTATCTAGCGTTTATGTCCTCCAACACCATTCATGGATGTCAGTCTATTATTTAGCCTGAAGAAAATACTGAAATCTAAAATTCAATTATCACATATTTGTACTATCAAAACATCATTTCCACTATTTCATATACAATTGATGAAGTGAGACAATATTTCAAACATTTTTTAATCTCATAGAGAATATTGCTCATAAATATTCCCTGTTCTCAAACCACTCTGCAGACTGCCTAAGCCAAGCTTAAAGTCTAAATGATCTCAAGTCACACAGTTTTAGTTTATTTGCTTATTTGGAACAAGGTCTTGCTTATGCAGTTCAGGCTGGTTTTGAACTCACCTTGTAGCCCAGGCTGGCCTTGAACTTGCAGAGATCCTCCTGCCCCAGCTTCCTGAGTGCTGGGATTACAGACATGCACCACCATGCTCAGCAAGAAATATATTTTAAAATAGAAAAGTTAACTTTAAACAAAAATTTAATTTAAAATTTAAGTAGTTCTGCTGAGCCTTGGGACATGTGCCTGTAATCCCAGCGCTGTGGGAAGCTGAGGCAGAAGGATCACAACACTGAATCCATTCTAGGGGGCTAGGAATGTAGTTCAACACAAAGTTCATGGGTTCAATCTCCAGTAGAGCCAAGAAAAAAATGTAGGCAGTTCAAAGAACACAGATACTATCGGAAACTTAAAAGGCTTATATAGTTGAAGACATTTTTTCTCTTGTCATTTTCTGTTTATTTGTTCTCTCTTCTTTTTATAAAAAAAATCACTGTATTTTGATTGTTTATATACAAAATACATCTAAGTCAGAATTTCCAGATCCATATGGATCAATTTTATGACCTGTTCTTTCTGAAGACATATTTCTAGGATTGTAGGACACATTGTTTGTGAGGAAGAAAGAGAAAGGTTTAACATGCATATTAAGGATAAAAATATCCAACTCAGCTCATATCTATTAGATATATGAGAGCAGTCTATTTAAATAGATTATCATTTTATAAATCTCTGACAAACAGTAACATGAAATGCTGGAATTTTAAAAGTCACATTTGTATTTAGTTTTAATATAAACAATCACTGATTGAAAAACAGGAGGCATTCTTACTTGTTTGCCATTTAAAATATGTTCATCCTTATTACCCAGGAAGACAATAAATTATGTCTAAAGAACTTTCTGAGCTTGAAGCATTCTATTAGCTGTGGTCTAGATATATCATGTGGAAAGAAGGCGTTGCAATTAAAAACATACATACATGTCCATCACCCACACATATGTGTTCACTTGTACATTTACCACATATGTGTGTGTGCATCTATTTGCATCTTGTTTCCTCCCGCCCAGATGCCTCCTCAGCAAGGCCTCTCTTCAGACAGAGTCATTGGGAGTTGCCAGTTCTCACTGTGCAGGTCTCCAGATTAAGCGACTGGGAAGGTGACTGGGCAGGGCTTGTGGTCAGACATCCTTCTAGTCAGCAGGAGGATCAAGAATGAATGGGCACAGGCTGAGGCCAGGGACGCTGGGAAAAGCAGGCCCCAAAAACAAAAGAAATCTGGATGGGATCGCTGGAATCCTCACCACATTTCACTTAATGATGGTCTCTGCCCCCCAGGCAAGCACAAGTGGAGGAGAAGCTGACCATGAAATATGCTTCATAGACTATTTATATGGAGAAAATGTTGAATCGCAATACCGGGGCCATCTTCAAATTCTAAAAGTAAAGTTTGAAACTACAAAACAGTTTGCTACACTAAAAATAAAAAGGAAATTCATGACTCACAAATGGTACATGAAGAAGTGACACAACTCCTCTTTTCCCATCAAAGAAAAAAATAGTGTCTGATAGTCACCAGGCTACAAAAAAGTGGAAGGTGAGTTAATGGCATTCTTGGGGATCATTTTTTTTTTCTTGAGTTGAACAACTTGCTTAAAGTAAAAGTTATGCCTTTCCCTTAGCTCTACCTGAGTAGATTCAGAATCTGGGATAATTTATATCTTCCTACAAAACCCTTTTCCTCCCCCTGCAGCTCAGTAGAAGGAAGCTTATTTAATGACTAGTAGCAAAAGCAAACCTCAGAGCTCTTGGACCAAATGCCTAAGGACTGAATTTATTCCATTACTCGTAAAAGAACCACAACAAGACTGAGCACGGGATTCCCCTGAAGAAATTTAACATCTGGCAAAGGGCACTTGAAGCGTAAGATAAACATTTCTTATCTTGGATCACGTCTCTAAACCTTCTCTGAATCTCCTGAGATCTGCTTTTGCTCTCCCAGTCTGTCCTAACTGCTTCCCATCTCTGCTTCTTCTCTCCTTCAAGCCCAGATTGGAGCAAGGAAGCGGGCACTGACATGCTCGATTCCCTAATCCTTCAGTGTTACTCACCAGGAGAGAGAAAAGGAGCTGCTTATAGAAGATGCTCCCTGGGGCAGCGGAGGCCACAGCCATCAGAAGCGGTCCCAGTGGCCTGGGACAGTGCCCAGCTGATGGGGCAGCCTGGAATACACACGCAGCTGAGTAGGCGCTGGCCCTTGTCGGGATGTTCTGTGGCCACCTTGGCCTGGCTGAGCTTGCTTTGGAAGAGAGTCAGGAGGCAAGTGACAAATGACAGGAGGAGGAGCGAGCAGGAGATGGCTTCCTCCTGTTCCTTAGTCAGGCTTCCTCCTTTCAATCCAATTACCTCTGCAGGTAAAGAAGTTTTCCTGCAAGTGGGGAGAGTGAGGTCCCAATCGTCCCAAACCCAGCCCCTGACTCCTCCTCACAGCAGCTTTCAAAATTTCTCCTGCCACTTAACACATAGGCAGAGGCAGGAGGGAACACCCTCTTTCTCAGTCCTCCTCCCTTTCCCCCCAGGTTGATGCTAAGTATTTCTCCCCAGTTATTACCACCTCCCACGGCCTCCCCTCCTCCTTAACCTTCTTAACCTGCCTTGCCCCTGGGTGGAAACATGCATTGTGCACAATTGCCAGGCAAGGAAGTGATGCCTCCGTGGCTGCCATTGGCACACCAGAGGGCCTAAGCATGCGTAATCACTCCATCAGGGGTTATCTCCCCATCTAAGCATTTAGGTGTAGTCACACAGATCACAGTAACACAGAGACTGGCAACTTTACAGGTGTGCTGCGTCTACTCCCTATGATTTTCTGTCTACTGGGTTTAGGCCTCCAGACAAGACAAGTTGTTCCTCAAAATATATTGGCCTAATAAAAGTCAACTAATAAAGAAGTAGCTGGGATCCCATTTTCTTATTGTTTTCTTTTGTTGCACACAACAACGTACATTTTATTCTTAGCTATTTTTCTAGGAGAGCTGTGCTGCGTGAGACCCAGACTCAGTAGATTCACTTCACTCAGCCTAATTACTGGTGCATTGCAAGTCATATTCTGGATATCCTAGCCCACTGGTACAGCTGGGCCCTCATGGCCAGGTTTTGTAAATGCTCGAGATTCTTTGAATGAGAACTTGAGAACCAGTCATCACAAGCTAGTGAGTTAAATAATATCAATCACACTCACTGGCAGTGATGAAAGTTAGGGAAGGGTGGCTATATATTTTGAAATGTTGATTGCTTAATAGTAATTTATAGGATTATTTTATAGTAATCACCCAGAGTCAAGTACAAAGAGTATAGGAAATCTCTCCACACACTAAAGACCTGAAGATTCCAGAAGAGGGCCTGGATGCCAGGGCATTGGCCTGCGTGCATCCAGCTGAAGACCTAGAGCCTATCACAATGCCTTGCACAGGTCTATTTCATGGGTTTGCGCTAGGAAGACCCAGAGGTCAGCTGTGGAAGCCAGAAGGTCTGTGCCCGCACAATGAAGGGTCTGTTCTAGCAGGCTGAGGGATCTGCACTGGAGTCAGGAAGTGATGCTCAATGTAAGGACTAGAGCTTCCCTGAAAGGTACCACAGCCATCCTCAGTGACAGCAAGGTCCTGAACTCCTTCCACGATGGGGACTGCTGAATCCATACCAGGAAAGTCAGTGTGACAAGCCACCCTAGGAGACACCAGCTTCTTCTCCAGTGCTGTCTCTTCCACTGCCAGCCATAGTCCCCAAATGGGCCCCCACACCCAGCACGACCCAGGTTCAGTTCAGCTGGTGTTACAAGTTGACCACCAGTTTTCAATCCACCACATACCTAAAGATACATACAGGTTTACCCTTTGAACAATTTACTTTCTTTTGTTTTCTTTTTTTTTTTTTTTTTTTTTTTTTTTTTTTTTTTTTTTGGTAGCAGGCATGGAGCTCAGGGCCTTGTGCTTGCCAGGCAGAGGCTGTGCCACTGAGCTTCATCCCAAGCCCTTAAGTGAATTTAAGACTCTAGGTCTTGGTAAATGAAATCCACACACTCACAGATGAATTGCTGACCTGTTGGCTCTGAACGATCTTTACGAAGTAGAGGCGAACTGATGGGCTGGAGATGGGAAACTGGTTTAGGTTTGAAAATAGAAAGGGAAACAGGCAAAATTGGCTGGAGTTTGTGTTAAGTCTGTGTAAAATTCTCAGATTTTCATCAGGCTGGGATTTATTTTAGTTGATTGGCAGCACTGGCGATCAGGCCCAGGGCCTTGAATGTGCTAAGCAGGGGCTGGGCCCTCCTGGGGCCTAAGGGCTTAGGCTGGAAAGATGGAAAGGAGCCCTTAGGCTCATGCCTCAGTTACTCTTCTCTCCTTGCTGGGACAAATACCTGACACCCAAAATGAAGGACGGAAAGGTTTATTTATTTATTTATTTATTTATTTGTTTTGGGCAGAACCGGGGATTGAACTCAGGCCCTTGCGCTTGCCAGGGAAGTGCTTATTCCACTGAGCCATCTCCCTGGCCCCAGGAAAAGTTTATTTAGCTCACAGTTACTGGAGGCTTCAGTCCATATTCAGCTGGCTCCAAGGCAGAGTAGCACAAGATAGAGAACAACCTTTCTTGGGGCAAAGAGCAGAGAGCAAGGGAGGGGTAGCAGCAGCTCAAGCAGCTAGCTTCTCTTCCCACCTTACATTGTAAAAGTGAATTACCTGCCCCAGGGCATGTGTAGTACCCATACCCACAGTAATCAATCACAAACTCCAGAAGCTGCCCCAAGACTGCATAGGCTTTGGGGGGACACATAGACACAAACTGTAACAGCTCACA